TTTTTTTATAAATATAAATATTAAACACAAGACAAAACACATTCATATATTAAATTACTTAATTAGAACGATCAACTACTATTTAAGATGCATGACATGTCCACAAAATACTTTACAAGACAGTATTTTATAATAATATTTAATGTATGATACGTACCTGTGACAGTCAATTGGTATTCTGCTCTTACCGGTGGGCCTAAGCCATTGTCAGCTGTGCAGACATAAGTTCCACCATCGTATCGATCTAAATTAATAATTTGAAGAGAGCCATCGGATAATATGCGACGTCTGGCTTCTGAAGGTGCAATCTGGCGAAATTTTAATTTCTGTTATTATCATAATATCTTGTACGATAATAATTTATAATAAATTAATTTTCATAACTTTTTAATTTGTACATTTGTAATTATATTAAAATTTTGATTGATTAATTTACAAAATTATTAATTAATTTTTAATTTTTTAATTTCAGAAAAATCAAGGAATCTCACCAAGGTTGTGCCTTTTCTCCATGTGATCATTGGTCTTGGATTTCCTAAAGTAATGCACTTCAATGTTACGTAACTACCTTCCTGAGCATTGACTTTTGGTTCCTCTGGTTGTTTGATGGAAGCTGGTTCAGCACCAACTGCAGGTACAGTAACGAATGGTCTTGGAGAAGTCAATATAACTTCTTCGGTGGCTGGTTCGAGACAAGAAGCACCACAACCATTATTACAACATTTCATATCTCCCGAACAATCTGCATCCGTGAGACATTCTTGTTCGCATCTAGTACTATTCGATATACTTGGACAACGGCCTGGTTTCATAACTGTGAAATAATAGATATTAAACTATTTAAAAATAATTATTATTAATTTAATTATTAAGATTGTGTTATTGAAATTAATATTGAAAGAATTTTTTAATAATAAAGTATTTTTTGTTCTAGGTCAAAATTAATAAATCAATAAATATTTTATAAATCTATATAGCATTATATCTATATAGCATATTAGCATTTTTTAAAATTAGCAAAAGATATTTTATAATTAGAATTAAAATCACTAAAGGAGGTAATTGAAATATTTTATTGAAAAATATAGAATAATAGAATATATCATAAATAATAATAAAAATTTAATTTTATAGCTACCTGATCTACATACTCCTTTGTATTCTGTACCATCTTTGGTAGCAACTAAAGTAATGGCACATTTTGTGTTATCGGGACAAATTTGTGTTCTACAAGGATCAACGCAACGACATCGTTCGCAATCCTGAGAGTCCACGAACGCCTCTTTGCCATACGGGCAACGGATAGTCTGACATTCTTCGCGTGCTTCGGTGCAAGGATCCTTTGTATCCTTTCCGGAATCTACGTCGATCTCGTTGGTAGCTATTAAAATATATAATATAATTATATAACAAAGAATGTAATACTTTTGAAATAGAAAAACATGAAAAATGAAGTGAATAAATATAAATAATATAAAGTGAATAAATATAAAATAAAAAAATAATAAAAAATTATAATATATGATAAAAGCAAAATTATATTTTTGCTTCTAGCAGGATTGAAGCTTAGGAATAATTAAAGCTGGTAGAATATATCATTAAATATAACATATATAAAAAAAATAAAAAAAATTAAAATATAAAAATACAAATAAAAAACATATATAAAAATACAAATAAAAAGCAGATAAATAAAAAAGGAAAAGGATACATAAGGATTTAACATTTGAAACAAAATAATATAAAATAACAATAAAAATAAACAGCAATATAAAACGTAAAGATATTTATCACGTTCCAAGCTGAAAGTTAAAAATATTTACAAAAATATATTATTCAAATACTGGAAAACAGATTTTCACGACTTACTGCTAAGGCAAGTACTAATACAAGACTCAAAGGTCTTGAATCTGTTACGATTTCCACCGCATCCAGTATAAATGAACGCTCGACACGTTTGTTCTTCATCGTCGAAATAGAATCGTTTGGTAGCACCAGAAGTGCAAGACCCAACATCAACTGGTTCTTTACAACTTGCTGAATCATTATCGTTTAAAACTTATTATTGTCATTACGAAATTCTTTTTCGAAATATCAATTTCTTTTTCGAAACATTTCTTCTCAAATTTTATTTGGTATTTTTTAATAGAAATTTGAGATTAATGAATTTAATACTTACACAAGCTTGAAAGGCTGTCGTTTCCAGGAAACACGGGTTCCTCATGATGAATGCAAACAGACTCACATTCAGCCATTGAACTAAACCTGTTCGCATTACCTTCGCATCCACCGTATGAAAATTCACGACATATGCGGTTGACCGAGTCATAGTAATATTTTTGGAAGTAACCTCGGCATTCACCAGAATCCGGCGGTAAGTTACACGTATCTATGAAAATTATTAAATTATTATAAAGTTGATTACAAAAATAAAAGTAAAAATTCTTTTATAAATTATAAATTGTTCCAAAAATTTTCAAAAAATATGTTTTTTATAATTATATTTATATTAATTATATATTTATATTAATTTTATAGTTTTATTCAATTAGAAACATAGTTACACAAACATAGTTATGTTCAATTATTTCATAATACTTTGACTTCAATTAGTTGTATATTACACAATACATACATTGAGATAATTAATAGTTCTAATATTAAAAAACTATAAAACTATAAAATGAGATATAATGATTAAAAATTTTAAAGATTTCTTGAATATACCTTTTCCATGAAACTTTCCGCAAAGACGTTCACACTGTTCTTCTGTTTGGAATCTATTCGCATTTCCTTCACAACCGCCATAGAGAAATGCTTGACACATCTGATTGTGTGAATCGTAATAAAAAGCTGTGATATCACTATTGCAAGAACCAGGATCAACAGGAGTATAACAAATCGGGCTCTTCGAAACAGTTTCAAGTGATGGAGCAAGTGTAACAGTAACGTTTGGCGTTGTTTCCGTTTGAACAACTTGTTTCTGGCATCTTTTTTCGCAGGATTCCTTATCCTGAAAGCGATTCTTGTTACCCTGACAACCACTATATTCAAATTCGTAACAAGAATCTGCTCGGTAATCATAATAGTATTGTTTGACAAAACCGCTACAGGGACCAACAACTTTGGGCAGACTGCAAGCATCTAAAGAAAAAAAATAAAAAATAGTTGGAATAATTGTTGATATGATTTTTAATGAAAATGTGTAATAAGAATGCTTAAATATTCAGTTAAAATTACAAACCTTGAACGTCTCCACATCTATATTCGCATTCTTCGCGACTATTAAAGTTATTTCCATTGCTTTGGCAGCCCCCATATCTGAACTGCTTGCAAACACCTTCTCTACTGTCATAAAACCATTTGATTTGTTCATCAGAACACGGACCATGAGAATCCGGAAGGAAGCAGAATTCTGAAAATTTTATTTTTCATATTTTTTTTTAATTCATATTAAAATTTGTTTTAATCTTTCATTTCTATAATTCAATTATTTTTAATAATTAACAGTTTTATATATAATAATATGAAATCATTTAAGTTTTTTTCATATTAAGTAAAATTCAAATTAAATTCATGGTAAAGATAAAAATATTACCTGGTTTAAATTCGATTTCTCTTACTGGCGCAGGGGTAGTAATCGTAGTCTGACATCTGTTAATGCAATCTTGTTCGGTGACAAAATTATTTTCGTTTCCACCGCAACCACCATAATAGAATTGTCTACATTGCTGTTCGTAGGAATCGTAGTACCATCGTTGAGTATAGTTGTGGCATTCTCCCAAAAGTGCGGGCAAGAGACAGGTATCTTGCTCTGCATTTAAATTTACAATAATATAAGATATAGATAAGATAATATAAAGAAATAAAAAGTTCTATAAAATCCATTCAAAATGTTTTATTAAATTTAACAAAATTAAAATTATCTTTAATTTTTTTTAATTAATCATTTAACAAAATTGCTTAAAAAAATTATATATTTTTTTTTTTAATTCATAGGACTTTTTATTTCATGTTTTGTAACAAATAAAGCAATATATAACATATAATAAATTTATAGCAAGAATGTATGACGTATATATGTATATATATATTAAAAACATCTTTTTATTTGCAAAAGACGTACATTCGATGATAATTCATGATAAAATTTGCGTGCATATGGTACAATCGACATTGAAGATAATTACACAAGAAAGAAATGCCGATAATAATCGAACAAAACTGCTAAGAAAAGCGTTAATGAGCATTAAGCATCGATAAATCTTGTTACAGAAATAGAAGATAAAGATAAAGGTAGTATGATGCTTTCTATTTTATTTTATTTTATTTTATTTTATTTTTTTTAAGAAAGTGATTAGACAAAATCTTACCAACTTTAGCCGGGCAATCAGATTCGCATGCGTCCCTAGATTCGAAATTATTTTTATTCCCACCGCAACCAGTATAATAGAATGGCATGCACCGATTCTCCGATTGATCAAAGTACCATCGAGATTGCTTCTCACCACAGTTACCTTCGGCTCGAGGCAGCAAGCAACTATCTGTTAATCGCATTAATTATTATATCATGCAATATGGGATTCTCGTGTAGATTTCATTAACCATTTCATTTGCGATTTACTTCAACTTATATTTTTCTGAATCATAGAATTAATAAATTATATTAATTTTTCTTTCCTTACAGACATATAATATTGAAATTTTGGAAATATATTTGTAATACATTTTCAATTGAAATCATTATTTCAATTTTTATGTAAATCAATGATTAAAAATTATTGATTCAAAGTAAACAGCAAATGACTGATTAATTGCCATACTCTTTGGAAATACATATTCTTCAAATTCCTGAAAATGAAAATGTTTTTTCTTGCAATTTTTACTTTCTATTATAGAAAATTTGTATTTAAATACCGAATATTCACGTTAAATTGTTAAAAATTATAAATCAAAAGAGAAATTAAAATCCATTTCTTTTTTTTTCTTAACAATAAATATCGACGCAATTATTCACTGAACACTAAAATCGAGAAAAATCGAGAAAAATTGAGAAAAATCGAGAAAAATCGAGAAAAATCGAGAAAAATCGAAAAAACTCGTTTAGGCGATAAAAGCCATAGAACGATTATTCTCGAAACGAGAATCGCTTCTCGAAAGTCGAACTATCGATTCGATCAATTTATCGTTCGTGCAATGGTGCAAGCGTGCAATTCTGACAAAAAGAGTGCTTTTTATTGTGAATAATATACGATTAAAAAATAATGCGTGATAACGATTGATTACAATTAATCGTGAGATAGAAATAATTGTGTATAGAACGAGATCCACCAAACTAATAGTGCTTTTTTCATTAAACGTGCTTTGTTTGTTTTGTGATAGAATTGGGCACTTTCTATTCGAGATGAATATATAAAAAAAAATAGAAATAAATCTCAAAAAATTGTAAATATTTAGTAATTTTCAATAATAATATAAAGTTAAAAATTAAAAATTTTATCTTTCAAAAAATTAAACTATCAATAAATGAAAATTTTTGAAGAATAATTCTGTAATTAGACTGATAATCTATTTGAAAATAAAAATTATTATTGGATAGTCACTCACAACACAATATTCATTTATACAAAATACTCTTAAAAGTTTTATTCTTAAATATATTTTTACATTTTTAAATAATAAATCCTGATATGTGCTTTTTTAAAAGTAACATAAATTAGATTTTGCCATTTGAAGGATATTATTTTTACATTGTATAAATTATTTTTTAAATAAAATTATTTAAAATAATATAACATAGCAAACAACAAATTAAATATACATAAGTTTGATGTGCCCAATTCTGCTTTATGCCAAAAAATAGAGATATATAATAACAAACGAACCAACACCAACGACAACAATAAGAATTGTTTCTCGATTAAAACGACGTCCAATCGTTCCACCAACACCCACGAATAAGAAATTACTCTCTTTTTCTTTCTTTTTCTACAAATTGCGAGCGATTCAATTATTCAAAAAGCAGATAAGCTTTTGTTTCTTCAATTCCTTTCTTTAATTCTTTTCTTTGCTATTTTCCATGTTCTATTCATTTTCTTTTCCTTTTTTTTTTCTTTTGCCTTTTTTGACTTTTTCTAATACCTTTTACAGGGCAGCGCTGCTCACAGGCAGCACGCGTACGGAATCTATTCGCATTGCCTTTACAACCGCCGTAAACAAATTGGTTACACGTCTGACGCCCGGCGTCATAATACCAGCGTAACACAGAGCCCGGACAAGGGCCGGGATCTTTCTCCAAGCGGCATACGTCTGTCAGTTTTACTGTAAATAGTATGTATTTTCTACGATTACTTAGGGATTATTTCGTTATATTTGATATCTGATGATCAGTGCCAATTTTTGGTGCTTGGATATGGCGTTTGATGCCTGAATTATGTTTGCTGATATATCATGTTTAGTGTAATTGAAAGTGAAGATTCTGATTGAAATGATATTTGCAAAGATACTAAGTCGCCAGAATTGGAAAATATTATATTTGTACATTATGATTTCTTCTTTAATATATTATTTTTTTTAAGTTTTGTTGTTATGCGTTGTTTTAGTATCTTCTGCATTCTTTGTGAATAAGAAATATACGTTTAAATCATATTTTAATAAATAAATAAAAATTATTCATGATATTATTAATGGAAGTTTTAAAATTTTAATAAACATTTCAATTTAATCGAATTCTTTTTCTGGCGATTTAGTTTTGACTATTTTTTTTTTTTTTTCTTTTTTCATCCTTCATTGTTAACAATTTTATCAATAATCAAGAAAAATTCAATTTATTGTACGTGAAAAAAATAATTACATGCAGATTGATTTTCCTCAAAAATGATTAAAACAATTTTATCTCCATCATATCCTTCTCGTGTTTGATAACAAAATATCAACTGCAAGAAAAATCGCTTAAAAATGAAAACAAAAGACAAATTGACAAAAAAAATTGCCACATATTTCGATTCGTTTACGAAGAAAAATAATCTGAAACACTATTAAATATGTCTAGTAAAAACAAATAATATATTAAATAATTAATATATTATTATATAATAAAAATATGGTTTCAGGCAGAAAAACGAGCGTGATACGTGCGGATGTCGAATGAAAGAAATTGAAATGGATGAACATACCTCGTCTCCTTCCTGGTTGTAAGCATTGTTGGTGACAAGCGATTTCCGTTGGGAAGTTATTATCATTTCCTTTGCATCCACCGTACAGGAATTGCTCGCAACCTTGTGATTCTGCATTGAAGTACCACCTGGTAAAATTGCCCTCGCAGGGACCTGATTCTTTCGTTTGGTCGCAAGGATCTAATGAAATATAATAAAAAATGAAGATTAATATTGGTATCTCATTATACTTTACTATCACAACAAAATTGATCATTGCATTCATACAAAATCACAAATCACAAAATCACAAACTTCATATGAAGAACATGAAAATAAATTGAAGAAAATTTTATCATAAAAATTTAATCAGAAAATAGAAAAAATATTCCATTGAATGAAGTAAAGCGAAAACTCTGCAATTAATTTCAGAATAATTAAATAATAAAAAATATTGAAAGTAATAAAAAGTTGATTAATTTACCCAGATCATCAGGAGTGACACAAAGTTCCTCGCATTCTTCTCTGGTTTTAAATTTATTCGCATTACCAAGGCATCCACCATAGACAAACTGACCACACTGCTTTCTGCCAGAATCGTAATACCATGTAGGGAAATAGCCTTCACAAGGTCCAGAAATCTTTGGTAAGAAACAGGCATCTACGACATAATTCCAAAAATTAAATTTCATTATGTCTTACAATTAAAAAATTAAAAATTTAAAAAAGAAAAGGAAATTCAGATTCGTTACCTAATAAAGAAAATTACTAAAAAAAATATATCAATTACTAAAATATAATTTGAGTATCAAAATAATATTGAAAATAAAATAATATTAATTATAAAAAACTCTATAAATTTTTGAAACAATTAAATATTCATGTTTTATTTATACTACCTTTTCCTTTAGGCTGCACACACACTTCCTTGCATTCTTCCTGAGTCTTGAATCGATTGTCGTTACCTTCGCAGCCTCCATACCAAAATCTTGAGCATCCACCATATTCTGTGTCAAAATACCATTTAACAGTAAAGTCTCGACATGGTCCTCTATCTCTTTCCAACGCGCAAGCCGCTCCAGGAGTGGATGGAACTGAAAGACATCCCTCGAAATTCTCTCCTTGAGCTTCTTCCACGCCATCAGGACAACATCCATATTTGGAGGCATCGCAAGTGCATCCGGCAAAGTTCGGGCCCTTTGCTGGTGTTCTTCCGTCTGAGCAGCATTTGAATTCCGTGTTCTCGCAACCGCAGCCTGCAAATTCCCATAAGAAATATGCCGTTAATTATAAATTAAAAATTGCTTTGCTATATGATCTATGTAAATATCAACTTACACATTAGTGAATATGGATATTAAATGATATATTTATTTAAATTTGTTTGATTAAATTATTTTTCATTTCAATTTTTATTTATTTTTTATTTACTTTTTTTGATTATTAATATAAATTAATAAAATTAATAATCATTTCAGTATATATTTAATTTTTATCAATTTAATAAAACATTTTTATAAAAGATTTTATTTTAAAATATATTTAATATTCTATATATCTAATATATCTAATATTATAATATATGATATGATTATAATATATTATAAGATATGACCAATATAATCAATATATAAATAATATTATTATCATAATATTATTTATCATATTATTAAAAGCTAAATAAAAGTTCAATATTCTTCGTTGCTTGGTCCATAATATATAAAACATTTTCAATACATTTTCAAAATTCTACCAAGCTTTGACCAAAATTAATATTAATTTTAATTTTAATTTTATACAATTACCTTGTCCATGGGGTCCTTTTGCAATGGTGACACCATCGGAACAACAACCAAACTGATATGTGTAACATGGACAACCATCGTAATTCGGTCCTGTGGCCGGCGTAAAACGATTTGGACAGCAACCATGGGGCGTGTATTTGCATCCGCAACCCTCGTTATTCGGTCCACGAGCAGCAGTACTATTATCGGGACAACACCCGAATCTCATGTATTGACATCCACAGCCATAGAAATCAGGACCACGAGCAGGAAGTATGTTATCCGGACAACATTTGTATTGTGTTGATAGACAACAACCCTCTCTATTGGGACCATGTGCAGGAGTAACACCATCTTCACAGCAACCATAAGTGCTATTCTCACAGGGCATATGGCATCCATAATTATTGGGCCCAAGAGCTGATGAACATTAAATATTGAAAATTTTAATAAATTAAAGAAATTGAAATAATTATATTTTTTAATTTAAAAATATAAAATAATATTGAGTAAAAATAAATACTCAATAGAATTTATTTTATAATAAATATTAGAAAATATTTTGATATATTATAATATTTTATCTTGGAAAATTAATACAAACCTGGTGATACTCCATCAGGACAACATCCAAAGTACGATATAGTACAGTTTTCCGCATTAATAATACCACATCCTTCAAAATTGGCACCAATTGCAGTGGAAATACCATCCGGACAACATCCATAGGTGGAATTCGAACAATCTTCCTGCACAGTAGTTGTTTCATATTCTTCAGTAAGTGGAGTGATAGAAGTGATCTCCTCCTCGCAACCTTCACTATCTGGTCCAGAAGCAGGCTTTATTCCATCGGGACAACAACCGAATTTAGTGCTATTGCAACATCCCATGTTATTTTCTCCACTAGCGGGTGTCTCATTATCCGGACAGCATCCAAATTCTGTCTCATTGCAAAGTTTCTTGCATCCTTCGAAATCATTACCTTCAGCAGCGGTAACTCCGTCTGGACAACAACCGAACAATGTTTCATCGCAGAGAGATTCAGGACAGCCTTTGTTCTCTGGACCAGTAGCTGGTGATACTCCATCAGGACAGCAACCGTGTTTAGTCTCATTGCAAGTCTGAGCCATGGGACATCCTTGGCCGAATGGTCCTAGCGCTGCAGTAATTCCATCGTAACAGCAACCAAATGGCATGGTTTTGCAGGTCTTTTTCTTCTTAGGCACCTTGCAAACGCGATGTTTGCGTGTGACTTCTTCCGGAGCGAGTGTTGTCCAGAATTCAGTTACGTGTGTTTTCTCAGTTACTTCGGTCTCTTCTTCATCAGTAACCGGTGTCAATCCGGAAACGGTTGACTCTGTCACTCCAGAGACAGTTGTTTCACCACTCTCGGTTGTACCAGACTTTGTAGTTTCACCCGATTCGGTAGTCTCGCCAGAAATCGTCGTTCCTTCTGTCGTTGTTGCACCAGATTCAGTAGTTTCACCAGATACAGTAGTTTCTGTCGGACCAGATTCTGTAGTTGTCGCTCCAGATTCCGTTGATTCAGTAGCTTCCGTTGATATTGATTCAGTTGTTGCTCCAGATTCTGTAGTGACTCCAGGTTCTGTTGTACCTTCAAATTCTGTTGTGGCTCTAGATTCTGTTGTACCTTCAGATTCTGTTGTAGCTCCAGATTCCGTTGACTCTGTAACTTCAGTTGACATAGATTCTGTTGTAGCTCCAGATTCTGTTGTAATTCCAGATTCTGTTGTAGCTCCAGATTCTATTGTAGCTTCAGATTCTGTTGTAACTCCAGGTTCTGTTGTAACTCCAGGTTCTGTTGTAGCTCCAGATTCTGTTGTAGCTCCAGATTCTGTTGTAACTCCAGGTTCTGTTGTAGCTCCAGATTCTGTTGTAGCTCCAAATTCTGTTGTAGCTT